AAAGGAATCCACATTCTAAAGCCAGACATGTGGGAAGTAGGCACTAGTGTGTGTGCCAGACTATCTGTTCACTCTTTCAGGACAATGCCTACACATCACTTCATTCTCATGGATTCAGTGTAGTACTTGGTGCACAGGAAATACAGGTTCTGCTTTGGGGGACTTTCTTGAAATTTTTTAATATTTCTATCTGTGGTTGGTTGAATCTGAGGATGTGGGACTTGGAGATACAGAGAACTGAGTATATATTTTTTTAATTGTCCGTCCCTGAAAAGACAAAGGATATAGTCTTTCTAACTTTTTAATATTCAGCTATAGATGCTTCCTGTCCTGGACTCCAGTTATATGAGATGACAGTTGAACTTCCTTGAGACATGAGCTTTCCTCCCTTTCTCTATCCTTCTACATCTGTGCCTTCCTTTGTGTGCCCCCTTAGAACCCTGGAGGTCCTTGGAATATAGTTTGATCACAGTGCTCCTGGAAAATGAACTACCATTTCTTGATTGGGCCAGACACTGTGCTCACCTATTTGACTCACAGGTGTAGCCCTCTGTGTGTGAGCCTTTTAGGTTACCTGGAGCATGAATTTCTCCCTGACTTGGAGACTCTTGCTTCTCTTTCTGATGCTTTTCTTTCAGCAGATGTGTTGGTCTATTATTTTAGCTTGTCTTAGTCTGTTTTCTGTTGCTATAAGAAAATATTTGATATGGAATAACTTATAGAGAAGAGAAGTTTAACTGACTCACAGTTCTGGAGGCTGTGAGGTCTAAGAGCATGGTGCTGGCATCTGGGGAGGGCTTTCTTTCTCCATCATAATGTGGCAGAGGGTGTTCCGTGGTAAGAAAGAACAAGTGTGCTAGCTCAGGTCTTAATTTCTCTTCTTATAGAGCCAGTAATGCCTTCATGGTGGCCCCACCCTCATGGTCTCATCTACCCTAATAATTACCCAAAGGCCCTGTCTCCAGATACCATCAGCATAGGATTCAGAGAATTCAGGGGGCTAAGTCTCCAACACATGAACTTTGGGAAGACACATTCAAACCATAGCACAGCCCTAATCTGTCTTCCATGCAAGCACCTTTGGCTTCCATAGGACCCTGTGATCATCAGGCTGATTCAGCACCACCCACAACACGTGCTTCGGCCATAAATAGCTGAGCCCACTGGAGGAATTAAGTCCTCAGCCCTCTCCAGACCCACTGCATTCCCAGAAACCCACAGTGAGGGGCTGGGTCTTGACAAACCATAAACTTTCCTTCCTTGGTGATGTGTTCGCTCCGTAAGCATTATGGGTAATACTCCCATATTCTCCATGGCCTAAACTGAAAACTCCAGACAAACACTTAAGGTACACACTTCTTCCCCTGCTGTTAACTTCCTAGTGCCCTGACCATCCACCTCTCACTTTCCTCTAGCTGGGCCACAGATTTCAGATGCAACTATACCTGCATTCCTGACACTTCTGCTCTGTTATCACTTATGCTCTCCCCTTTGCAGAGTTTTTTGCTCTCCTCTCTAATCCTCTTGTTCTGGATTCTGGTGTCCTATCAGGTGGGAGGGTGTGAGAAGGAGGAGGAAACTGGCTTTGCTCTGGGGCTCCTGTGACAGTGTATCAGCCACAGAGGCCAAGAACAGGAATCCAGGGATCAAATCCGGGCAAACAGGCAGGGTAGGTTGTCTTGCTTGGCTGTTGGTGGTGAGTGGGATGAGATGATGACTTCGTCTCAATGCTGGAGGGATCCTGGAACGGTAGTCCAGGCGATTGTTCCCTGGGGTGGAGTTCTGAAGACCGGCTGGGCTGAAGGTGGAGATCCAGGGATGGAACCGTGGTTCAGCTGGAGGTGTACATGGCAGAAGAGAACCCAGACTGAGACCCAGGAAGGAGCTTGCGTTGGGTGGACAGACCTCCAGAAGGCTCTGGAATAAAAGAATCAGAGACAAGGTAGGGTAAAGGGCACTAGGGAGCCAAGGTCGGCAAGGAATCCTTCCACAAGAACATTTAGAGACCAGAAGTTCCACTGTAAAGGAGGTTTTGTACTGGCTTCCATCTCTTGTGTAGGACAGTGGCAGGTCCCCATGATCCTCCGAAAGGGGTTAGTTTTGGGGTATGTGTAGGACAGAGCACACAAAGGAAGGAGGGGACACAGTGGGAGTGGGGAGAGATGCAGCAGAGGCAGGGGCAGGGGCAAATGGCAAAAGGCCTCTTTCTAGAAACCTGACCCTGAAGGAAAGAGGTCGGGCTTGAGAAAGCTTCTGGGATATGGGTGAACAGCATTGTTGGAGGGTAGTTTGTCATCTACAAAATATGAGCAGACACACACAGGACTGTGTCGCGGGGTCCCTGCCTCTGTGCCTGCTACAGCTGCCCCCTGAGCCTCGGCCTTCAGGCTCTTCAGGCCTCACCACCGCCCCTCCCCCGGGCAGCTCTAGATGGATGTATTCTTTTGAAAACCCACTTCCATCACAAATGCAGGACAGTAATTTTTGTTTACTGAACGTTTCATTGTTATGGTTTAGATCCAAAATGGCCCAAAGCCTCACCTGTGTGGAAGGTGATTGGATTGTGGGAGCTTAGAGCTGGCTTTCTCTTAGGGGGTGGGGTCTAGTCAGAAGAGGCGGGTCCCTGGGGGCATGGGCTGGAGGGGTGTGTTTCCCTACCCAGCTCCACCCTTCTCTCTCTGCTTCCTGGCCACGAGGACATAAGCAGCTTTCTTCCGCCAGACCCTCCCAACATGTCTTCCTGACTTGGAGCCAGTCAGCTCTGAGCTAAAAATGTGAGCCAAAATAAACTCCTCCTTTCCCTTGTGGGTATTAGGTATTGTGTCCCAGTGTTGAGAAAATGACTAAGCCGATGGATTTATTCTACAAACTGCCTACTTCTATTGCTTCCCTCAGTCGTGGTCAACACCATCGGTTCCCCATTCCTGCAGTGTAAGATCTGCAGTCGTCCTGGGTAGCTCCCTCCCTGCTCCTCTCTTCAACCAGACACTTGGAGGGCAGACTCAGCTCAAACCTGTAGGCTCTGGAGCTCCCTTTCCATGGTCACCTAGTCCAACTCCTGCTATTCTCTTACTGTGTGAGCTTTCAGAACCTCCCTGTATCTATTTCCTCATCCTCAAGTGCACGTATGTGTGTATGTGTGTTACAAACAGCCTGTCTCAGAGGGCCATTGGGGACATTAAATCAGCTGACATACAATGTTCAGAAGAGTGGCTGGCACAGTGTCAGCTATTGTTATAAGTGAATAGAATTTTGCAATTTCCCTAAATTCTCTCCTCCATTCCCTGCTCTTCAATCCCTTAACTCCTCCAATGTGTATTACTTAAATCCCTTGCCTTTGGTCCATTTCTCTCCAAGCTATCCTGCCCACTGTCCCCAAAGGTCAGTAGTGGAAGGGATCACTTTAGGCTCCCTGTGATTGCAGGATAAAGCCCAAACACTTTGGCTAAGCATTCAAAGGCCCTCAGTCTTGCCCCAAGTGCTCTTCCCATTTTTCCGTGATGCCCTCTCACTCACTCCTCCTGTTCATGGCCAGCCCTCTTGGGTGCTCTTGGCTCATTCCTCTTGGGTTCATACATTTGTCTTTTTCCTGCTCTGCCCAATCCATGCTTTCTCCCATGACCATGGCCCCTCCTGCTTAAAGCCTGTCTTCACCACTTCAGAAACAATGGTCCTTCTGACTCTTGATCTCAGGACTCTGTTTGTACCAGGCCTTGCTCATATTTACTCACAGTGTTCTACTGTTAGACACTGATCTCTCACTTGGGTTTTGTCTCTCCAGCTCCACCATGTATCCTGTGAATGCAAGGTAGGGTCCTCTGGCTGGTTTTTCTGACAGTACGCATGACCGTAAGCCATTCTCTGTAGGTGACTTAGTCATTTTCTGTTGTGGTAACAAAATACCTGGAGTTTATTGGGTTCAAGAAGCTTGGAAGTCCAAGAAATGGGGCCAGCCTTTGGTGAGAGCTTTCTTGCTGCATCTGAGATGGTGGAAAGTGTTGTGTGGGAAGACAGAGCAAGGGTGCTAGCTCAGGTCTCCTTGTCTCTTCTTATAGAACCATTAATGAGCCATAGCGGACCCATCCTCATGACTTCATCTAATCCTAATCACTACCCAAAGACTCCAGCTTTTGCCACCATTAACGTATGACTTTGACCATTACCTTTCCAACATATAAATTTTGAGGGACATATTCAAACCATAGCAGTAGGTGTTCAATTAATACTTATTAATCACAAAGTCATTGTGTCATTGTGTTTTAAAAACATGTCCTAGTATTTATTAGTTCATTCTATTCATTCATTTATCAATTATTTATTGGGCCTCTACAGTGGCCAGGCAGTAGGGATTAGATGATTAGAAGTATTCCCTTACAGAGCTTATGTTCATGTGGCAGAGAGGGAGTTTTAAATTAATGAAATATTTCAAAGAGTTGTAAGGGTCATAAAAGAAGTGAACAGACATGGTGGTGTATGCCTATGATTCCAGCTGCTTGGGAAGCTAAAGCAGGAGGATCACAAGTTCAAGTCCAGCATGGGCAACTTAGCAAAACCCTGTGTCAAAATTAAAAAATAAAAAGGGTTGGGAATGTACCTCAGTGGTAGAGCACTCCTTGGTTCAATCCCCAGTAACATAGGACAAAAAAAACAAAACAAGAAACTTCATTCAATGTTATACATATTTTATCTGTCCTGTTTGCCCGGTTATATAATCTGTGGCCCCCACTTCAAAGCAAAAATATGGGTACTTTTGTTCAAAACTATATCATAATTTCAAGATAGTGCCAGCAGAAAATTAAACCAAGCTCAGGGCTTTCTAGTACATGACCATGCACCTGGTGCTGCTCATCTTTGGTGCTGTAATGAGGCAGGAAATAAGCAAAGGAACTATCCTTGATTTAAATCCAGCTCTGTATATCTGCTTACAGAAACCACCATAAGCCATGTGGTGGCCATGTGTGGGATGCCACCTGAAATTTTCATTGCTCTTTCCCTTCCAGACTGCTTGTCTTACTCAGCTTTACAAGTACTGTCCAGAAGGTGCTATGGGAAGCAGAGATGCAAAATCCTTGTCAACAATTACCACTTCGGAAGCCCCTGTCTGCCAAGAGTGAAAAAATACCTCACTGTTACCTATGCATGTGGTAAGAGTCAACCTCCATCAAGCTCCCTGAAGCCCCTGCCTGTCTGGGAACCAGTGGTCAAATCAACAGAAGGAGTTTGCTTGGAACAAGCCAAGCAACTCTATACCCAAACCCTCTAGTTATCCCAGACTTTCCGGAACCCTTTTTCTATCCTTTATTCTTATTATGACGTGCACATCAGATAAGCAATAGAATTTTCTGTGGTCAAAATTTGTTTTTAAGAGTGCTCCTAGCAATCAGATTGGCAGTAGATAGGAAGAGTAGGAGAATAATGAGCAACTAGGGATAAAGTTGATGTCACTGAGAACCATGATTCTAATCTGGGTTCTTAAGGAGCTCTGAAATTTATTGGTGTGTCATGCAAGTTCACAGAAGTATTGTTTGGTTTCTATTTAACCTTCCAGCACTGCTCTTAGGCCCTAAATGACTAACTTGCTATGCTGCCAACAGTTGTTTTATCTACATACTCACAGCATCGAGTCAACAGATCAAATGCTTCCCCTAAAACAATTAAAAATGTTAGGTGGCAGCATTACTTTGTTTTTCTAATGTTTTTAAATAATAAAATGAAATGCCTGCTTTGTTTAGATTCCAGTTTCACAAAGGTATATAAAAGCAAATTAGCAGTTAATTATTTTCTGAGGTATTATAGATGTCCAGTTTGTAATCCTAATATGTTGACTATTTTTCCTTAAATGAACATAAAAGCAAAAGGGAAGAAAGAGCTCTATCACTAGAGAACTTAATACCTTCTATCCTGCCAAATATCTCTAGCCTTTTGTTGCTGTTACAGCTTTATTGAAATGTAATTCACAGTGCATACAATTCACCCATTAAAATATACAAATTAATAGTTTTTAACATATTCATGGAATTATGCAACCATCACCACAATCAATTTAAGAACATCCTTATATTTCTTTAGCATCTCACCCCCAACCCACACTATGTATCCCATCCCCAACCCCAGACAACCACCAGTCTGCTCCTGTCTTTATGGAATTGCTTCTTCTGCACATTTCATATGAGTGGAATCATATCCGTGTTTCCCTGAAAATAAGGCCTAAATTGAAAATAAGTCCTGGCTGTTACCATAGTGATGGCTAGCATTTTTGACCTCTAATTTTCAAGGCTGATTATTTTCCAGTTAGATCTTATTTTCAAAGAAACAAAGTATGTAACCCTTGTGTCCAGCTTCTTAGTATATGTTTTCAAGGTTCAAGTATGCTGTAGCATATCTCATGACTTTATTCCTTTTCGTGGCCTAATAATATTCCACTGCATCCCCAGACTTTTATATGCTGAACCAAAAATTTTGCTCCCTGCAATATCAATGCTGTAATAGGTACAAAGGTATAACTACATAAATGTATTCTCAAAATAATAGCACCCACATTCACACTGCAGGAAGGTTGAGTTTACCTGCACAATCTTTTTCCTACTATGGTGTTTAAGCAATTCTTGGTGGCATCGAGTCCATCTGGCTGAGGTTCCCTCAAAACCGGCAGAGTTCACCCTGAGAATCCAGTACCTTCCCACTGCTTCAGATGAGTGCTGGATGAAACGCAGGACTTTAACTTGCCAATAGGGGAATTTTCTAATGTGCTTAAAGGATGAGGCAAGCAGAGTTATGAGGGCTATGAATTTTCTTAGCTAACATCAAGAAGGTGATCTTGGTGGTAGTGTGCGTGTGAGGGTCCATATGTCCCAACCAAAGCTTGGTTTCTCTCATTCACTCACTCTGCACACTGGGGGCGCACTCTGTGTGGCAGGAGCTGTGCTGGGTGCTAATCTTTCAGTAGTACACAAAGCAACATAGTCCCTGTCCTCATGAGATAAAGTCAGGGGACAGGTGGGCATTAAACAAATAACCAGACAAATCTACCATTACTCGATGTGCTAAGTGCTGTATCAGAAAAGGGCAGGATATTATGAGAGAGGATGAAGCAGCCTTATTGGATTAGGGGCATTGGTGTGAGTAATATTCCAAAACTGAGCCTTCCTCTGGGGTCAACTTCAAGCTGTGCCCTGGTGGTTGGGCAAGCATGAGTAGGAGAGAGAAGTGCTCGTGGGAAGGAAGACACTGTCAGAGGGCGCCAGACAGGACCAGATTAGATTCCGTGAGGTCTTTGGAGGGGATTCCCTGGGAGGTTTCAAATAGCGGAGTCAAGCAATCAGATTCTGAATACGTGGGAGACTGTGTTTCTCTACCTCTTTGATTTTAGAAATAGACACATGACTAGGTGTGACTGATGGTATCACTTCTAGACTGAAGCATAAAAGAAAAGTGTGAGCTCTCCATGTGCTCTGCATCTTTATGATGCAATGGAAAAGATCTCGCTGGTGCAGGGGGACAATGGATTGGGGCAGAGTTGAAACAGGGAGGACAGGTGAAAAGCAGGAGGCAAACATGACTCAGGCTAGAGTGGCCCTGGCAGGCACAGTAATCACTGGATGGATCTGACAAGTATCTGGAACAGAGAAGTGGAGATGCTGAGTACAATGTGTATTGGAAGGATGGGGTCTCATTGAAGCTGAGAGGATGGATTGATCTTTGACAAGAAGGTGCAATATATCTCTTGTAACAGGAGGGAAGAGGCCATGAATATGGTGGATGCAGGCAGGTCTTGGAGTTTCCATCACATGACCTCTGTCTCAAAAAACTATGAGATGAAGTCACCTGCTGTGGGGCATGGGGTAAGAGGAAAGAGGTCTGTAGAGATGAGGGAAGGTTTGACAGAAGTGCCATGGAGACAGAAGGCCACTGCAGTTGCACTGCTCAGTGCATTGAAAGCCTGTGTAGGATTAGTGGGCAAAGTTCTCAGGGACAACTGGTCTACCCAGTTGGATGGTTACTCCCAGTAGGGCTCAGCTGCCCAAGAGTAGACATGAAGAACAGTGTTTCTCCAAGTTCAGCAGCAACAAGCAAGGAGGGAAGAGAGTTGAAGCTGATAGATTTCCAGTGAGTAATTATAATGATGGACTGCTGAATCTATGCTGGGGAAAAATTTGAGATGAAGGAGGGTTGAACAAGGAACAGAACTGCGGAGGGAGGCATCCACATAAAGGTTAGGAGGCTGAGGTCAGACAGGGCATGTTTGGATTGTGGATTTTTATGTGAGGAGGAAATGGGCATTTTGAGGGTGCCCTTTCTGCCTCCCCAAGGGTCCCACAACTTCTCCCAAGGGATGGGGGCTGACAGGATGTGGTGCAGGGTTTGGAGGGGCTCAGGCCTTTGTGACACCTACTGAGGACAAGTGGTCACTATCATGTAGAAATCATTTTTGTCATGAATGTAAAGAATCATTTGGGTCCCTGAGTTCAATCTGTGATGGCATTTTTCTTAAAATCTGCACTGAATCAGGCTTGACATTAGTTTATTGAGCCGGTCAACCAATCAACCAATGAGATGATCAAGGTGAAGTCTATGCCCAAATTTAGCAAACACCTAAGTCCATTAGGATCATCATCTTTGGTTTCAGCTCCACAGACTCAAGAGAGACTGCCTGAGTGAAAAGCACTTTATCATCTTTAGAATCCTCTATTATAATCTTTGGTCCAATTCCCAAAGGCTAAATGTGTCAGGGTCAGTCAAGCATAGAGGAAAGAGTGAGGGTGTTTTGTTCAAAGCACACCAGGAGTTGAAGCTTTATCTCTTCCTACGGATATGTGCACTTTTGAGCCTTAATTGTCCCGTCTGCAGGAAAGGGAATAATATACATATTTGCCAGGCCACTGAAGGATTATGCAAAACGCATCATTTAAACTTCCCAGAACAGGGCCTGGCACATATTAGGAACTCCACAAAGAGTGTTTTGAGAGTTTTCATGAATGCTTCTAAAGTGGAGAGAAGCCAGGCATGGTGGCACACACCTGTAATCCCAGCACTCGGGAGGCTGAGGCAGGAGGACTACTGTGAGTTTGAGGCCAGCCTGGGCTACATAGTGAGTTCAAGGCCAGCCTGAACTACACAGAGACCCTGCCTCAGAAAACAAACAAACAAACAAATAAAGTGGAGAAAAGCAGGCTTGAGGAATAACAAATTATACCTCAGCTCCCATCCTTATTCTAAGCCAGTTTGAAAAATCTGGCAGTTGTATTGACATACTTTACATTAAATAGCCTAAAAGATTCTTCTAACATCAGTCATTTTCCCATGATAAACGGGCAAGTTTCTCATAATGTATTCTACCCAGGCGATGTAATCTCAAGAGCCTGGTTATTCTAAAAAAAATCATTCTAGCAGATCTTTCTTCTCTGAGCTCCTTTATAAAATTCTGACTCCTTCTTCAATGTAAAGGCATTTGCAGAGAGCAGAGATTCTTCTCAGGTCTTGTTTTGAGAATGAGCCAAGAGACAGATGTGAGAAAGAAGTACCACTGCTAGCAGGGAGAGAGGACACGTTGTCTGTAGGGGCATCATTCTTGGGACCCAGAAATGAGCGAGTTATTTAGTTAGAAAGTATGTGGTGGCAGTGCAGCTCAGCTCTCTGGATGCTGCCGTGGTCCTGGTGAGCCCCATGGGTGGCCAAAGGCCACTTATCATGGCCTCTTGTGACTCTTGCTGCTAACTGGCCTGGTGGCACCAGGGCCTCCTATACATGGACAGTTCCTGATCGAGGAATGTCCTCTGACTGTTGATCTTGGGACATCCCCCTAAAGAAATTTAGTTAAGCACCCTGAGAAAGGAAATGAGGTTTTCTCGCTGCTGAAGATGTCTTACCAGTTTCTTTTTTTTTATAAAGCAATGAAGTTGAACTTGCACAGTTTGTATTGGCCTCACTTCTACTTCCTGTTGCCACTTCCCAGATATCAGCTGAGCTCAACGACAAACATAAATAAGCAATTCTCTGCAGCAAGAGTATTCGGTTTCCTCTCTCTTCTCGCAGCCTGCAGCAGGCAGTGGGCTTGGTCGTTCACAATTCGTGCTTTGCTCTGTCAGCTGCTGCTGTCTTTGTCAGCTGCTTTGCCTGCTCTCTGGGCACCACATGGTTCTGGCCTCAGTAGTGTGTCCAAAGAGAAGTTCATGTATGAGTTAAAAGCTTTATTGAGGAGTTACTTATATATCTTAATAGTCACTCATTTAGAGTAAATACAATTCAGTGATACTCAATAAATTTTGAGTTGTGCAACCATCACCACACTCTAGTTTTGCTACACTTGATCTTACACAAAAGGTCAAGAAGCAATACCACATTCCAACTTTAAAATATTTCCACAATCCCAAAAAGTTTTCCGGTCTCATTAGCAGTCAGTTCCTTTTCCTGCCTCTTGTCCCAGGGAACCACTAATCTTATTTCTGTCTCTAGTTTTACTTTTGCTGGATATTTCATGTAAGTGAAATCCTACAATATGTGGTTCTACTGAGAATAATGTTTTTGGGAATCATCCTTCCATCATGTATTAATACTTAATTTTGTTATTAATTACATTCCACTGGATGGCTATACTATAACTTGTGTATTTATTTCCCATGTTTTCTTTTTAATATTGCAAAAATGGCCCTTTAATTTCACCTTTCTGGGACATTTGATGACCATACAGGTACCTTTGGTGTACATGGGAGTGTGTGTGTGTGTGTGTGTGTGTGTGTGTGTATGTGTGTATCTGAAAGGCACTGAGCAGTTCTTCATCTGATTTGAAAAGTGGTTTTAAATATTATCTACATTATACCTTAAACATATTTTTAATTTATTTTCTTATCAGTACATGTTTGTAGTACATAATGCTTACATGCCTGTTGAGGAATTCATACATGTACATGATACATATTAATTCCTTTTTTCAACCCTTTTCCTTTCCCTCCCACCTCCCTCTATCTTTTGATCCCTTTCCCTTTTAGAAAGATCTACCTCCCTACTTCCTATCATCTGTCTTTTATTCTGCTTTTTATTTATACTTTGGGTTTCTCATACAAGAGAAACTATGTGATGCTTAAGCTTGTGTGTCTGATTTATGTCACTTAACATTATGGTCTCAAGATGCATCCATTTTCCTACAAATGACTCAAATTTATCTTTCTTTAGGGTAGAGAAGTACTCAAGAATATATTAAATATACAATTTTAATAAGTATACCACGTTTTTAAAATATTTCTGTTTGGTGTTTAGTTCCCAAGAACATACTCGCAGCAATTGATCCAGCCATTGCTAATCTGAAGCCTACTTTGAAGCAGGAAGATGGTGAACATGGTAATTTTTATGGCTTACTGCCAGCATTTCTCTTTAGGTAAAGGTAAACAGCCCTCTGACCACAGTCAGGCACACACTGGACAGGTCCCTTTATCATTCAGTAAGAGCTTGCTTACAAAGTGTTCTTCCTGGCTTAGTCTTTTCCATAATTTAACCAAAAGCCCATTTATTTGATTTCTGTGGCTTTGGTTATTATGATAGTGCTGGGTGAGGAACAGCAGAGATATCTTAGGACAAATGTACTATGAACAACCTTGATTAACTGCTTTTGAATTTTTTATAAAACAGGTATAAACTTTGACCCAAGCGAATCGAGAGTTCTGCAGAAAGATGGAGTTATTGTTAGCAACTCCCTGGCAGCGTTTGCTTACATTAGAGGTAGGTCAATGAATCGATGCTTCCTGGAATGCTCACAGATTTGTTAAAGCCTTATTAACAAATGCACCATTCAATTACAGCACTCAGATAACTAAAGGCACATGACTTTTAATTTGACACAGCATCTGCAGCGTTCCAAGATCCAGAAACACAGAAGGCCAAATTCAAGTACAGCTGCAACCAGGCAACCAACCGAGAATCACAAACATAAAGCCACACTGTTTAGGGCTTGGACTCCACAGGTATTTTCCCCCTTGAAATGTTGGAATGCATTTCCCAGGTCTAAAATTTGGGAAGGGCATGAGATTATTGAATTCCACTGCCAGCTGGAAGGAAAATGAGCCAGATCACTTAGTAAGCAAAACAGGCCGTGCCCCATGAAGGCCGAGTCACAAGTGTTGTTCCTCATGGTTGTCAGGGTTTCCTCTGCTAATCTTCCCTGTAAGGATCAATCAGACTCAGCCCTCATGAACTGGCAAGGCCAAAAGTTTGCACCTGGCCTGGCCATGTTGTAGATCCTTTTTGCTAAGGTAAAAACAATCTTTCCTCATCATCATTTCTGCTTATCTGAAGGCAGATCTGAAGACAGATAGTACTTTGGAATGTCGACTGCAAGTTTGCACAGTGCCTGCCTGCCTCTTTAGGGTGATTGTATTAGCTTCCCATCACTGCCACTTAATATCTGACACAGCATATTGGTCGGCTTTCTTGTTGCTCAGAGAAAATACCCAGCACCCAAAACTTAGAGGAGAGATCTAATTCAGTTCATGGTTTCAGAAGGTTCAGTCCATAGTCAGCTGGTGCCAAGGCAGGAACATCATGGTGGAAGGAGGGCACAGCAGAGCAAACCTGCCCAGTACATGGCAGGTGGAAGCAGAGCAGGGAAAGAGTGACAGAGAGATAGGGGCGAGGAACTAGATATAGTACTCAAGGCTACATCTCTATGACCCACCCTGACACACTCAGAAGTGTATTTTACTAATTCCCTGGGCAGCTCTACAGCCAATCAAGTTGACAGTCCATTTAACTGTCACACATAGGCTACATGTGATGTAAAGAAAGGTTTATTTTGGCCCATGGTTCTCAAGGTTCAAGTCAAAGATTGGGTTGCCCTATCTGTCACTCTGGTTAGTGTGACCCATCATGACGGGACACTTGTCAGAGTGAGCAGTCACATCTCAAACTAGAGCAAAGAGAGGGAGATGCTAAAATCCCCCAATCCCTTTTGAGAGTGTGCTCCCAATGACTCAAAGACCTCCCAGTAGGTCCCTCCTCTCAAAAGTCCAAAGCTCCTCCCACTGCCACCACCCTGAGAACCAAATTTCTATAGAAACCTCAGGAAGACACTCATCCAAGCCATACCAGAAGCCAAAATGTCTGAGACCTTCAGTCAACATTCTAATGCATGGCAGTACTACTAATTAAGGCCTGGTGGAGCTGGGACTGTATGGGATAAGCCTTACACAGAGGGAAGTAAAGCCTTAAGGAAATATGTCAGTACAGGAGACAGAGTTTATTCTTGCCACCGTCTACCCACATCAGTGTTCTTCCTGTGGGTGTCATTTGGTGTCTGGTTACCGGTTCCTATCATTTTTATAACCCCCCTCCTATTTCCAAATCTTGCTGTTCCTGACAAGTGTCAAAGTTAAGAAATGGAAAGATTTTTATTGTTAGAAATATCCCCTATTTTCCAAGTCCCTGGAGAGCCTCCTTGGAGAAAAGTCATCGTGAGGTTCCCTCAGAGAATGATGGTGGAAGAGAGGGGACAATGACATCAGTTGCTGAGCCACAGCCGTGCTGTGTGCTTTGCTGCAGCTCACCTGTCATTTCCTCTCCACAGCTGCCATAGTCTGCTCAACTTTCAGACAAGGAGCTTAAGCATCATGAGACCCAAGTCTGTGAGCCAGGTGCTAATTTATTCACTTTCTGGTGCAGGCTCTTCCTAGCTTGTAGATAGCCACCTTCTTGCTGTGTCCTCACATGGCAGAGAGGAGGAGTTTGAGGACAATAGGGAGATCTTCTTATAAAACTACCGACCCTGTCAGATTAGGTCCCCGCACTTATGACCCCCTTTAACCTTAACTAACTCCTACAAACCCCATCTCCAATACCAGTCATGTTGGGGTTGAGACTTCAACACATGAATTGCAGGGAGCACAATTCAGTCCATAGCAACACCCCTGAAAGATGAGACTCTGAGCCACCATTCTGCACTGAAGAAGCAGAGGCCCAGAGGAGTTGAACTGTTTACCTGAGGGCACTATGGACAGCAGCCCAGCCTTGTCCTTTGTCCTTTGCACCAGGCTGAGGACAAGGCTGTTGCATTGGCTCCTCTGAGACCTGATGTCATCTAAATTAGCTTCCCTCCATCCCTGTCTGTCTTTTCTCCTGCTTCTCATTCCCACCAATCAGGAGAGATTGATTTGTGAAGTGCCTGGCTCCCGCATGAGCTGTTAAGTTCCTTTGGGCAAGTGTGTGCCATCTTACTCAGTTCCACACCCTTGTGTCTAGGCTAGTGCTGCTACAGAAGAGGAACAGTGAGCAGTTAGCAGATGGCCAGGTGAGGCATCCTGCATTGACGTTATGAGTCATTCTATGCCTTACTGTCACCCAGATTTTGTTATTTATAGATCATTTTTTAAATGTGAGGATTTGATGGGCTGTTATTTGGTTTTATTGAGATATGTTTAGGTACAATTATCTCAGCCTGGATTTAATGCCCAGGAGAAAACAGCTCCATATTCATGGTGTTGGGTGTTAGCTAAATGAAGTCATAACTCAAATCACAAAGGTCCTGGTGCAACAGGTGCCTCCAGACTGCTCATGTCATTCCCTGGATGGTCACTCTAGATGTGGGTGGCATGCAGTGCTTGGTCCGTGGTCCACAGGGCAGTGCCCTGCAGTGGCTTCAGCCTAAGGCCACAGCGGGCTAACAGAAAGGGTCAAACGATGCCAAGCACCACCCTCATTCTTGCTGGAAAGAGGGGCCCAGGCCACTCTCAGGCACCTCCTCGCCCTGAGTAGGGATGATCCCAGGGACGGACAGAGGTCCTGTGTACCCTGTGAAGGAGAGGCCAGTGGCAGGAGCAGCGGGGAACCAAGAGCTTTGCCAGGCCAGGCTTCAGCCCAGCCCAGCCCAGCCAAGGGGTTGGTAAGTGGAGTGAATCTCAGAGGACCTTGCCCCACTCAGACTGCAAGTAATTTTAACACATTAATGTAGTCAGCTATACACGGGGACAAGTAGACAAGAAATCAAAGTCAAACCAAGTCCTGCACTCAGGAGACCCGGAGGCTGGTGGAAGGGACATGAGAAGAGCCAAGGACCCCTGATGAACAGTTTCTCCTGTGGCCACTTGAGTGATCTGTGAGATGACTTTTTCAACAGAAAATTTTGAAGTGAGAGGTATAGAAAGGAAGGGGTGCATGTGTGCGTGTGTGTGTGTGTGTGTGTGGTGTGTGTGTGTGGTGTGTGTGTGTGTCTTAGGAAGGCACTTTGCTGGCTGGCTCAGCATGAGCCCTTGTCCCCTGGCAGATTGTGCCTGAGGGGACTTATTTATTCAGACAGTCTTGCTTCAGAACATGATCCCTCCCGTTCCTAATTAGTAACTAACCTAATTATGTCTCACTGGCATCTGGCTTCTGGTGTTTACCTCATCTGTGCCTGCAGGCGTGCCTTTGGTGGCCCAGCATTTCCGCCCCTGCCCCTACTGTTTGAGACTGTGTTGAGTGTGTCCTCAGCCCTGTGACAAGCACAGCTGGGGTAACTGGGGTGAGGCAGACCTGGGGAGACAGGCTCAGAGCAACCCGAGGCTCACAGCTCAGGGCATCATGGTTTCACATGAAAGCAGCTCTCACATATCAGACAAATATGTCTTTAATCACACATTCCAAAGTCACAGCTCTGGATCCCCTGCCAGAGAGGACAATCAGAGATCAGCACTGCCTTGTCACGGAGGTGTGGGCTCTGATGTGTTCCCATGATCCCCAGTCTCTGGTTCTGTGACAGAAAGTTACTGTCACTTCCCTAAGTGCTGTCACACCAGGCTCTGGGACACCTTTTGCTTTCTCCTGGAGGACCCTGACCTCAGCTGCTGCCTGGCTCCTTCCAATGCCAGCAGAGTCCGGGAGGTGGGACCCTTGCCTGGCTCCTGGATGTCTCATCTGAAGGTGAACAAATTTGAGCAGGACTTGTATTGGCTGCAGACCAGGATCTAAGGGTTGAAAGAGGCTTTAAAAGCCACTGGCCACCGTACTGACGGTCCCAAGAGCAAACTGAATGAAAGCCATTCCCTCCAGCCTGTAACGAACAGGGTTAATTTAGAACAATACCAACCAAAACACAGTGTGAAGAATCCATTCAACCACATTAGAAATGCCTTTATTCTTTCCAGAGCATGTAATGGAAAAGAGATCCAACTGATCCTAGAAAACAGATGAAATGTTTTCTGTATAAAGCCTGGGTCCATGGAGGAAGCCTTGGCCTGGGCCTGGGGCCCAACCAGTGGTGGCTTTGGATAAATGACTCCATTACAACAGGAGGGGATGGGCTAGCTCATCTCTGAGATCCCATCTGACTACCATTCAGGGGTTGTGTGACTTCAAATGAACGGATGCAGATGAATAGGAAGCATGGTTCCTATGCACTTGCCAAGAGCTGCCTGTCCTCCCCATCTGTGGCCACTGGGCCTTGGCAGGTTGATTTGTGTGAGCCCAAGACAGCAAGCATGTGGCAGGATTGTACCTGAGCCAAGAGGCACCAAGGGTCCTAGGAGTGAGAAGCTATATGAGCAGCAGGGCCCAGTACCTCCTCCCTGGAGAAGGGGAAAATGGAATCCTCCATGGAGCCCCATCCACAGGGCACCAAGCCCAGTGCTTCAGCCCATGATCCCCTCTGCTAGGCTAGGGCAGGGCCAGATAAGGCCAGATGAGGCAGGAAGAAAGAATATTCCAAGCTGAAGGAAGAGTATGTGCAAAAACACCAAGGTGGGAAGCCCTCCAAC